CCCCCCCCCCCATGCTCCCTGACCAGGAATCAAACCTCCCACCTTTTGGTGTATGGGAAGATGCTCCAACCAACTGAGCCACCTAGCCAGGGCTGTATTAGTCATTTTTTTAGCCTTTTTGTTAAAGGAAGTCTCCCAAATTCTATAAGCTGCAGGCCCACATCTGCCCTGCATGGCCACCTAGTCTAGAGCACTTCCGAAGCCACCTTCTCTACCATGATTCTTTTTAAGCCTACAATTTGCTGTGACACCTGCTGTAACTCGGGGTCCCATGCTGGGTGGAATAATTGCCATGGGCATCATTGTAAGAAACTGAGCAGGGCAATCTGAATGTCCCGAGAGTCCAAGACTAGAAGGTTTTCTGAATGTGGGGCTGGTTTAAGAGAGGGCTTGGCCACGGCAGCCAAAGCCAGTTCTCAGGGAGGCCTCACGTAGCCAGAGCCCTTTGGATAAGCTGTATTCAATGATATTAACTATATTTTCTTATACTCTGTATTCTTCTAAAAAAATTTTTTTAAATTTTCTTATTTTTCAATTACAGTTGACATAACAATATTATATTAGTTTCAGGTGTATAGCATAGTAGTTATATATTTATATAACTTATGAAGTAATCATCCCAATAAATGTAGTACGTATCTGGCATCATTCATAGTTATCACAATATTATTGACTATATTCTCTATAATTTACATTCCCATGACTATTTTGTAACTGCCGATTTGTACTTCTTACACCCTTTCTCTTTTTCACCCATCTCCCCAGTCCTCCTTCTATCTGAAGACCATCAAAATGTTCTCTATCTCTACGAGTTTGTTTCTGTTTCTGTTTCTGTTTTGTTCATTTGTTTTTTATAGATCCCACATATAAGTAAAATCATAGGGTATTTGTCTTTCTGTCTGACTTATTTCACTCAGCATAATACCGTCTAGATCCATCCATGTTGTTGCAAATGGCAATGGTTCATCCTTTTTTATGGCTGAGTAATATTCCATTGTGTATATGCACCACTTTTTCATTTTTCCATCCATCTATTGATGGACTCTGAGGTTGCTTTCATATCTCGGCTATTGTAAATAATGCTGCAATGAACATGTGGGGTCCATATATCTTTTCCAATTAGTGTTTGGGTTTCTTCAGATAAATACTCAGAAATAGAATTGCTGGGTCTTTCTTTGTCTCTTGTTCTAAGTATGCTACCCCAGCTTTTTGTTTAAATTTCCATTTTCATAAAATATTTTTTTCATCCCTTTACTTTCAGTCGGTGTGTGTCTTTCAACCTGAAGTGAGTCTCTTGTAGGCAGCATATGTAAGGATCTTGTTTTGCATTTAATCCATTTACATTTAAAGTAATTATTGGTAGATATATAGTTGTTGCCATTTTATTCTTGATACTTTTAACTTTATTTTCTTCTTCTTCTTCTTCTTAAAGGAGTCCCTTTAACATTTTTTGTAATGGTGGTAAAATCACTCTTCAAGGCCCCGTGAACCCCCTGAACTGTGCGCACAATGTTTATGTTCACTCGTGTTTTCATTGAAGGTAGATGAAATGCTAGAGCCATGCTGTCCAATATAGTGCTCGCTGGCCACATGTGACTATTTAAATTTAAGTTAGTTAAGTTTAAATAACATTAAATTTTCCGTTCCTTGGTCCCCCTCGTCACAGTTGGGGTGCTGACCAGCACGCTGGGCTACCACGTTGGGCAGCACAGAGAACAGGTCATCCTCACGGGGAGCCCTGTTGGACAGCACTGACCTAGAGAGCTCAGGATTTCATCAGCTTTTCAAAGGCATCCAGGGCCAGAAAATGTTAAGAGCCACTAAGTCAAGCCAGTGAAACTTCATTTAAGGAGCCAGAAACTTCTCTAGGAAGTGAGTCAAAAGCTCATCATTGTGACAGGGGCTATAAACAAGTCTGCCTTTGAGTGCTCTTTTTTGGTCCAAACATTCAACTCTAAAAGCCCTTTAAAAGCATTCAGATTCTGCCCTGGCCAGGTGGCTCAGTTGTTGGAGTGTTGTCCTGAACACTAAAAGGTTGCGGGTTCAATTCCCAGTCAGGGCACATACCTAGGTTTCAGGTTTGATTCCCAGTCAGGGTATGAATGGAGGCAACCAATCAATACTCTCTCACATCGATGTTTCTCTCTCTCTCTCTGTCAAATAAATGGACATATCCTCAGGTGGGGATTTAAAAAAAATCCAGAGTCTGTGCTTTATTGTTTATCTCTTCCCTCCTTTTCCAAGAGGGACACAAAGTTCCCCAGAGCTTCTGTGTCCATCATGAGTGGAGGGGACAGGGAAGACGTTCCAGTGACCATGTCTTCTCTGCTGTGTGACTGTTGCAGGTGAGCGAGGCAGTCTTGGAAAACGCCCGGCTCATGCTGCAGACAGAGAATATCCAGGCGGGTGCAGACGACTTTAAAGACAGGTATTGTCCTGCCTCAGAGGGGACACTCTCCATCCCTCCAGACTCGGGTGACTTGGGTAATGCCATCTGGAGCCTGCGGCATTCACCCCCAGCCACATGGAAGGCTGGGGTGGGAAAACAGGGTCCCCGGGAGAATCCAGAGCCCAAACCCTCCCTTTAGACACAAACTAGGCCCCAAGGGCTCAGAGATTTTGCCTGGTGTCACTCCGTTTAGAGCAGGGGTTCTCAAACTCTAGTGCAGTCCAGAATCACTTAGGGGGCTTTTAGAAAACGCAGATTGCTGGGCCCCACCCTCAGAGTTTTTGATTCAGTAGATCTGGAGAGGGGCCCGAAATTTACATTTCCTACGGGATCCCAATGATGCTGATCCTGCTGGTCCTGGGAGCACACGTTGAGAACTACTGGCTTAGAGCAATGCTTCTCAGTGGAGGCTGCGTATTAGAATTACCTGGGCGTTTAAAATGCCAGTGTACACGCCCCACATATGAATGAGAGGTGTGAGATTTCTCCCTTCTATGAATGGATTAAGGTTCAGCTGTGAGATTTGGCTGAGTGGTCCAGCTGGGTAGAAGGCCATGGAAGGAAAGGAGAGGGATGGGGAGAAATTGGCAAAGATGTTGGGTAGTTTTTAGAAAGAAGGCCCTGTGTAAACAGAGACTGAAAGAACTCAGAGTGGGCAGTTTCAGACTTGTGTCCGTGTGTATGCACACACGTGGACATGTGTGTTAGTGCATAAGTTGTAAGTTTCTAAAACTCTGGATATTTCACATGTAAATCCAGCCTTCTCATTTCTCTTGAAGAGAACTGGCACACCCTTCCCACACAGCAGGAATGGAGCAGCTCACAGCAGCGCCCCTTTAGGCAAAGTAGAAGCTATTGCTTGTGCTTCAATCCCCAACTCTCTCCGCAGCCCAGGCCTGGCCCTCAACCCTCACCTATTATTGGCCGCTTGGCATTTGGGTTTGGCAGCCACGATCCTGAAATTCCACATGGGCCCTTTGGAGAGAGAAGCCACATGCCTCATTTGGGGTCATTGGCACGTAGCCTGGTATTTGGCAGATTCTCAGTATGTTTGTTAAAGGAGCCGCAGGTGAAAAGGGTGACAAATCGGAATAATGGTGGTGGGGCTGGATCCCTGAACTCCTGGGGAAGCTCACCCTCCAGCTCTAGGCTCCCAGTGCCCCATGAGGCTGGCAGCCCGTTAAGTCGGGTTATCAGGAGCTGACAACAGTTGCTCTCGTTTTAACAAATCAACATGTATCAGTTACATTAACCGTGCCCTCGAAGCTGCTGGAAAAGTGGCATCTAACATTCATTGTCTAACTAGCTCATAATTGGCCTGTTGGTAACACTTGTAATTTTATTATTTTGTCTTTTGGCTTGCCCGGCTATGCTAATTAAGTTCCTTTTCCCGCAGATATGAAAATGAGCAGCAATTTCGAAAGGCAGTGGAAGAGGAAATTAACTGTCTCCATAAAGTCATCGATGAAGCTAACTTGACAAAAACGGATCTGGAAAGTCAAATCGAAAGCCTGAAAGAAGAACTTGGTCTTCTATCAAGGAGCTATGAAGAGGTAGGTGCGAGGTGGGTGATGCCGGGTTGGCCACACTCTCCTGTCTGGCCAAGCTTCAAGACACAGGTGCTGGGCCCAGCCGCTGCGGCTCAGCTGGTCGAGCATCGTCCGTCCAGTGAAGCAAAAGGCCACCAGTTCGACTCCAGGTCCAGGCACATGCCTGGGTGTGGGCTCCATCCCAGCTGGAGGGCGAGCAGGAGGCAGCTGATCCACGTTCCACTCTCACATTGGTGTTTCTCCCTCTCTCCCTCTCCCTTCCTCTCTCTCTAAAAATGAATAAAAATATTTTTAAAAAAAACAAACCTAGGTGATGGCAGCTCACCTGGGCCTGTCCATGTCGCTTGCCCAGGGCTGCAGGGAAGATGCTGGTGAAACACTTTCAGTCCTTGTGGGTCAGGTTAGCCCAGGGGCCTCACACTCCAATGGCTTCAGAACCAGGCTGCTGTGAGACCCGGGGGAGGCAGCAGGTCCAAGCAAGAGTGGGTGATGGCACCTGTGTGGAACTGGAGGGCGCATCCAGTCCCTCAAGGCGTTCTTCAGATCTTTGTCTTCAACACTATATAGGACAAACAGTAACTCTGATCCGGGCTGTGGTTTGCACGTGCTCATTAATGGAATCAGGTCAGATCCCTGAGTGACAGGACGGAGGGGACCTCCCGCAGCGACGTGGTCCAGGCCCCTGCAGAACTGCACGGATTCTAAACACCAGCCACGTACCACTGCCGGATCCAAGGCCTGACGTGCTCGCAGATGAAGAAGTCAGGCCTCACTCAAGATCGCTCACGTCAGGAAGCTCCTTCTTTAGTTCGACCGTAAGCAAAACAGGAACCAACTGGCCCACTTCCTCCTGTTCTTGGCTCTAGCATTTTCTACCACTCCTCAGCAGTGAGAGACTCCACAGTTATCTTTAAAGCTCTTTCAGCTTACTCTGACTTTATGAAATGCATAAATTTCATCTTGCTATTGCCACTTACTCTGTATTGCTACTTAGCTAGTTTTTTGGATTTTTGCTTTGGGCCTGGGCTTGCGAAGACTCACTGAGACTACGGCACCTGTGCTAGGAAGGGGGTCAGGGGCTTTGCGAGCAGCTCTGAAGCCTCACGTTTGGCTGGAGCAGAATGAGAAGCGAAGTGTTGCCCACGGAACGGGGCTTCTGCTGACTACAGTCCCACGTCTTTTCTTTCTCCTGTGGAACTCACCGGAGGTGTGTTTGTCATTTTCAGGACGTGAGAGTGCTGTATAGACAGTGGGCTGCGTCTGAGCTAGAAGTGGACGTCCCCATTGGCACTGATCTGGACGACATCCTTGAGACCATCAGAGTTCACTGGGAGAGAGATGTCGAAAAGAGCCGGATGGAGGCAGGAGCCTCGCTCCAGGCCAAGGTGAGAGGTAGGACCCGCACCCTCCACTCTGCCTTGTGCGGAAGGAGGCCAAGCAGAGATGAAAGCAGTCAATGTGCAAAGGAAGAAACGCAGCTCTTTCGGTCTCATTCGACATAAATGAAATGTGTATTAAAATAATAGGTTCTTGTTTACCTGTCCAAAAGCAGAAAATATTTAAACTGGTAATAATAAAAACAATGCTGGCAAGTATATGGAGAGGGAGGTCTTCACCTATGTTATTGGGGAGCATTATGACCCCTTTGCAGAAGGAACTTGGAGATTTGTATCAAGAGTCGTAAAATTCCCCTGCGTACCAGTTGAATGATCTGGACATTATCGTAAAGAAACATTGAAAATACAAGTAAAGCTTACATCCAAGTATACTCACCGAAGCATTCATTATAAGAGCGAAAACATTTGGGAAGAACACACATAAATGTGTAATAATAGGATAAAGGCTAACCATGCAATGCCATATCAGGCAGTTATTAGAAATGTTATTCACAAAGCGTTTATAACAACGTGGGAAATGCTCATGCAATAAGGTAAATGGGGATGAGGTGCGGGGAACAGAGAACAGAGAGGTATATGCCAGGGCCAACAAACTTCCTCTGTGAAGAACAAGAGGGTAAATATTTAGTTTCTGGGCCAAATGGTCTCTGATGCAATAGTCAACTCTGCCACGGTAACATGAAAGCTGCTGCAGACAAAAAGTAACAAATGAGTGTGGCCGTGTGCCAATAAAACTTTATTTACAGAAGCAGGAGATGGCTGGATTTGGCCTGCGTGCTACAGTTTGCCAGCCCCTACTGTATACAGTAGGGCAAAGCATTCAGACAAAGAAACGGGGCATAAAGAAAAGATGAGAAAGAAAACAGGGAAACATTCACGGTGTCAGCGGCGCTTGTCTCTGAGCGACAGACCTCTTGAGCACCTTGAAATGTTTTTCTCGCTTTCGGAAATTTCTTGACTTTTTTTAAGTAGTATGAATTCTCTTCATGGAAGAAAACAACTCTTACTAACCTTCATAAATAATAAAGGAATTAACCAGAAACACAGGGTTTCTTCCCTTCTCCACGCCCCACCCACGCATGGCTCTGGAATCTTGCGGGAGAGGAGGGAAGAAAGCGTGAAACTAGGTGCCAGTCAAGACCAGGCTCAAGACCAGGCAGGAGGGCTGCTCCTGGTCCTTGGTTACCACTGAGAATTTCTCAATCCCAGCTGCACAGCAGAATTACTTCGGAGCATTTTTTAATTTCCCACCCCCAGGCCCCATCCAAGACCAATTAAACCTGAAGGAGGAGAGGGACTTTGTGGTGCTTTTTTTTTTTAATTGATTTTAGAGACAGGGGAAGAGATGTTGAGAGAGAGAGAGAGAGACATCAATTTGTCGTTATGCCCATCCGTGCATTCACTGCTCGATTCCTGTGTGTGCCTGGACCAGGGATCGAACTGGCCACTTGGTGCACTGGGATGAGGCGCCAACCAGCTGCGCTATCCGCCCGGGGCTTTGTGGTTTTCTGAGCTCTCTGGATGATTCTAATGCACAGCAGAGTTGCTAACCATGAGAGCATATATATAAACGTACCAAAAGAAAGCCAGGAGGCCTTTTCTTTCTCCTCCCTGCCCCCTTCAATCCCCAGCCCCAAGTATCAACAGGAACACTCCCAGCGGGGTCTTCACCAATTCTGGAGCCTCCAGTGTTCTCCAGCCCGGAAAACACCCCTCACTCCCCTGCTTTCCCACCCCTACCCCCTTTCAACAGCCCCTCTTCTTTCTAACCTTCAGTTCCTTGGACCAAGTCACAACAAACACTTTTTATGGCAAATCGCGCCTGATAACTCCACAAAATGCACCCCCACCCCAACCTGGTGAGAGGCGAACAGCACAGAGGGAAAGTGACACCCAACCATAGATTTGGTTTGGGTCCATTACTTCTTTTTTAGGAGAGTCATGAATGTTTATAATTAATGACCGCAGAAACCATCCATTTCCACTCCCTCACTTCAGAGGTGAGAAAACAGGGACCCAGAGAGGACAGTGGTCGCACAGCGGGGGGGTGTGACCATCACTGAGCTCTCCTGGCTCTCAGTCCAGGGATCTTTTCTCTGCGTGGGGCTGTTATTTCTCCCTGGCTCTGTTTCCAAAGCTAAGTCTCAGTGGCCAAGCAGTTTGGAACCTTGCTTCTGTCCCAACACCCCTGGGGTGTGCATCCCACTGCAGTGTTTATTTCTTTGAGAAGGGGGAGGGGCACTGTAATTAACAGGAATGTATCCTGCAGCGTGAGAAAAAGAAAAGAACCCGGTCATTATCACTCACCCCTCACCCTCTTGAGACCCATCACCGGCCCAACAGTCATTCCAGCAGTAATTCTGAACGGATTCATTAGTGTCTTTTTAAGAGAGTAATCAGAAAGCTACACCTCAGAGCAAACAAACAGCACTTGTGTAGGTTTGGCCAGTGCTGCCTGGGCTTCTTGCAGAGAGGCACAGCTCAGAAAATATTTGCAGAATGAGTGAATTCCTCTGATCGTCAGCAGAGATCAGAACTGACAGCCAGAAGTCCTCCGCTAAATAGTTTTGTCAGCTGCAGTCATGCCCTTGGGGCCGACACCTGCCCATCCCGAGCGCCTTTTGTCGGTTTCTTGGCCGCAGAGCAGGAATGTGAAGTGGCTCACACGCACTGCTTTCTGCAGAGAGAATACAAGCATGTATCCGATTCCCTTTCAGCCGGGGAGGTTGAAAATTCATTGACATGATGAATGTATGTCTTTGTTTAGGTTTCCCCAGAAACTGATCCTGAGGCAAATATTGACGTGGAGGTGGTTTATTTGGAAGTTGGGGGGGATACCAGAATACCAGGAAAGGAGAAGCAGAGAAGGGAACCAACAAAACGTATGTTATCCAACCAGCTACCGCTGTGGGAGGCTGGAACATGCCCCACAGGGGCCCTGGGGAACAGGACAGGATACGAGAGGGGAAGGTGAGGAAGCTGGGGTAACACCACCAGCTCCGACCAGACCCTCTGCCATCTGCTAGTAGAGGGGCCTTTCTGCTTCAGAGAAAGCGCTCAGGCAGAGCTGCAGAATCTGGCAGTAAAAGGAAGCTGGGAGAACCAATGTGATGAGGCCTGAGGGATACAGGTGGATGCCATCAGCTTCTCCTACCACTTATCAGCCAAGTCCTTTTATTTCTTTAATTGAGGTAAAATTGGTATATAACATTACATAAGTTTCAGAAGTACAATATTATAAATCAACATCTGTATACAGTGATCACCACCGAAAGTCCAGTTACTATCCATCACCACACAATTGATCCCTTCACTCATATCGCCCACCCCCCAAACCCGCTTCCCTTCTGGTAACCACTAACCTGTTTTCTGTATCTATGAGCTTGGTTTTGTTTGTTTTTGTTTGTTTGTTTGTTTTAGATTTCACATATAAGTGAAATCATATGCTATTTGTCTTTCTCCACCTGGTTTATTTCACTTAGCATAATGCCCTCAGGTCCATCTGTGTTGTTGCAAATGGCAGGATTTCATTCTTTTCTATGGCTGATTAATATTCCATTCCACATCGGTTCATCCATAGATGGACACTTAAGCTGCTTCCATATCTTGGCTATTGTAAATAATGCTGCAGTGAACATGAGGGTGCACATAACTTTTCAAATTAGTGTTTTCCTATCATTCAGATAAATGCCCAGAAGTAAAATCACTGGATGATATGGTAGTTCTATTCTAAATTTTTTGAGGAATGTCCATACTGTTTTCCATAAATCTTATTATTTTTTTAATCATGAAAAGCTTATAAAGAGGTTCTGATTAGGTTCTTTCCAGCCACAGTGTGATGGGTGTCGGGAACGTCAGTGGTCCAGTGTTTGGAGTTTCTCAAGTTGTATGATTCAGTGTCTGGGAGGATCAGGTTTGTCCAGGGAATTTCTGGAGGGTCTCAATATCTGGGTCTTCCTTCTCTGTTTGTTGTGGTTACCCAACTCAGGGTATTTGGGGATGCTTCGGGAACCTTAGATGACATGCCAGGCCACTCTCCTGACCTCCTGGCTAGGGTGAGATACACTCTCCAATCTGCAACCAACAGACCTTGAAAAGGCCCTGGAGTGGGGGTGGGGGGACACTGTAGGACTGCCCTCATTCACCTGTTTCCTAGATTCATATGCTGAGATGCTTCCATTCTGTAGAGTGACAAACAATAGAGAACCCTAAATGCAAGTTGCTCCACCCTGACCTTGGTCGGATTAAAGTCTCAGTGCCCTTCATCCCTACAATTTTTGTGGAATTTACAGGTGCACAGAAATCACCCCATCAATCATTGTTAAAATATATAAAATTCAAAAATAAAATTGATAAGCTGGTGAGGGCATTTGTGCTGGCCAGGTCTTTGACATTTTTTCTGCTGGTTCAATTCTCACAACAGCCTCAGAAGCAAGAACTATTGTTATTGGAGAGAAGAGAGGTGAGAGTTTCTAGTTTCTCTGCAGCCAGGCTATTTCCACTAAGTTTTTCTTTCACAGCGGCAACCATTTCAAAGGTCTTTTATCATCAACAGAAAAATGATGTTTTAGGAAACCAATGATACTTTCAAGAATATGTGCAGTTGTTGCCTTTCATGTCATTGTCAGTCCATTGTGATCAATATAATCAAACACTTCTTCCAATTGACCTTTTCCTTACAATGTGGGATCCTCCTGGAAGCAGGGCCACCCTGCAGGCCATGGGCTTCCAAAATTTCTGAACAAAGCTGCTTATGGTTCAAAAGATTGACCTGTGTCATTTCAGTTTGCCCACTGATAGGACTGGAGCCCCCCCCCCGCCAAGGTAATGAGGTATATTCATTTTTCATTGCTTTGAAACCAATTACTGCAAACTTAGTGGCTTAAAACAACTCAGAGATTGTCTCACAGTTTCCGTGATCAGGAATGCAGGGGTGACTTAACTGGGTCTCATCTCAGGGTCTCACTACGCTGCAATCAAAGTATCAG